ACTAACGGACTGGCGTGGAGCAGCTGGCTGGGCTGGATCAAATAGTCCACCTGATAATCGCCTGAGATCCCATCAGCTCCTCGGACACCGGGCCGCGGACCATGACAAATATAGATTCTTAATAACTTTATTCTTTGCGCTTTTGCTTTCTGGCTTTGAATTTTCAGTTTAAGTTCTCTTGTTGTGAACATTAATAATAAACTCCCAGCCTTCAAAGTATTCAGATACAGCGTCTGTGACTAAAGAAGGACAAATATTGCTGAATGGGCAAAAAGTAGAACCTTGTTTAAATCACTGCATCATGTGTGTGCGTGTGTTACCATTATTATCCTCATTAATGTGGTATTTCAGTTAGTTCCTTCCTTCTGCATTGAGTTAAACAAATCCCACTTTATCAAAAAGGCTTTTCCGTAAGTGGCCTGAATATAAAAAAAGCTGACAAGCTATTACATAAATAAATGAATGAATGAATGAATGGTTCTTCTTTCTCTTCCAGTTGTATCCGGGGAAGTGTACCTGGGTGTACACCAGTAACAACGTCCTCATGTCTGTATCAGGTAAAGCAGATCCTCATTTAGCTGGTTGTCTGTAATAAGACTCACACTTGTTGCTGGAAGTGGACCTCATTGCTCATCATTGCAAGATTTTCAGGGCCGAGCACAATAATCTGTTTTATCTGAATTTAGAAGCAGAAAGTTAGCGGCCATCCAGGTCTTTATGTCTTTAAGACATTCCTGCAGTTTAACCTAATTGGTGTGTTATCTGGCTTCATGGATAGTTAAAGCTGGGTGTCATCTGCATAGCAGTGTAAATGTATGCTATGCCTTCTAATGATACTGCCTAAAGGAAGCATGTATAATGTGAAAAGAACTGGTCCTAGCAAGGAACCCTGTGGAACTCCATAATTTAGTCTATTAGATAGAGATGATACAAACCGTGCTCTAATCACTGTGAACTCTTAAAATAAACCAATTCAATCTGTTAGCTGTTTTTCAACTACTCTTTCAATAATTCTGAGATAAAAAGGAAGGTTTGTGATTGGCCTGTGATTCCCTAAGAGAGCTGGGTCAAGTGATGGCTTTTTAAGTAACGTTTTAACTACCACCAGCTTGAAGGCCTGCGTACATAGCTGATTAATAGAGATAGGTTTATCATATTTGAGATTGAAGCATTAATTAATGGTAGGACTTCTTGGAGGAGTCTTGTAGGAATGGGATCTAAAAGATGAGGATGAATGACTCCTCAGCTGTGGGTCTCCAGCTGTATGTGTGCACAGCAGAGTGCAGTCAAGGCTTTATGCTTCAGTCACACAGGCCTAGAGACCAGTTTGTAACGGCTCTGGGGATTACCAGTCACTAGGAAAAAATGCATATTCCTCCACTGCTTGGCCAGTGGTGGCTGGAGCGTGCTGGCAGTTGCTAGAGTGCTACACCAAAACATCCTTAGTTGGTAACAGCTTGCTACTGTCACCTGCAGTATGCATGGAAGATGCCAACCTGTCTGCAAACACTTGCTAACTGTTCACCCAGTGCAGGGGTGGGCAATTCCAGGCCC